ATTAGAGAATGAACCATTTATAAAAAACGAGACGAGAAACATACACAATGGAACATTGTATAAAACTGTTGGTAAAAACAAAAACGTTCAGATAAAGTGGATTTCACAATTAAGAAGGGAAGTGTATAAGAAATACAGATATTCGAATAACTGCAGCTCTTTGTAAAAGAATTCGTTACACTCAATGAAAGAAACATTCTGTCATATAAATGATCATCAATCTGAATTTTCATTCGAGAACATCATAAATAATTGAAGTGAATTATTTGAGTGAGGTTCGAGGAGAGGCGCTTTATAATCCAGGAGAGGTGCTTTTTGCTTGTAATGCTGCAGCACCTGCATCAATTTCTGCAGAACACTTTGTGTACGCATTCTCGAACTGCGTCTTTGAAAATTTCTCATATAAATACTGAAATTAGATAGAAATGTTATCAGCGAGCCATAACTGAAGATTCACATTGAATAATATTCGAAAAATTTACCCTGTTATACATCAAAACCTTAAGACATTGCATATGATGACGGTGAATAGCCTTCCATCGGCATAGCTGAAAATCTATGAAAATAGTAATGCGTCACGAAATCTTCAGTAAATTCTACAGAAACATCAAACGCTGAATTGTTGCTTATTGATTATTTCTAAATTCGTTAGGCTCAATGGAATTGCATATGAGCCGTGCACTGTCCAATTCATCTTTCAGCGCATAACACTTTCAAAATAGTTGCTTATTCGGAACACTGTAGAATTATGCATCTTAGCGTGATTTATGAACCGACTGATTTACAAACGAGTGGAATAGTGTCAAAGTGCTGAACGAACTTCAGTGTTGACTCTTTCAAAGAAATCATTATGCTTCTTCTTGGCAGCTTCACATTTCGCGGAACGTTCTGGAGTTTGACGTGCTCCTTGAGCCATTACAGCACGGTCCATTTCATCTTTTAGCGCATAACACTTTTTAATATCCTCAAAAATTTTATTCATTCGATGCTTTTCCTATCAAAATACTCATCTGTCAATCGATGTATTCGAATGGAAGAATATCGAGCCGTAACAATGAACGAATAACCTTCATAAGTCGAGGATAGTCCTCCTCGACCCAACTTTTCATTGGTGCCAACACCCGGTCGTACACATCAGCCAGCATTTCCTCCTCCTTTTTGTTCACTGATGCACACACATTTCCTGTTGCTTTTAACGCTTCGAAGTACGGTCCCGAACCGAAATGTGGTGCGTACTGTAAATAGTTGAAATGGTGTGTACAATTAAGCTGATGTGCTGTTTNTTCGACAACATCATCCTGTTCTCATAAATTTCAGATCTCATCAAAGGATATCTTTTCAAATCTCAAAGCATCAAATAGTAAATTGGTACATTAAAGTACGATAGCATAGTTTTCCGTTTATCTACCTTCTGAGCGATTGCATTCATCCTCTCAAGTTCATTCTTTCTTCTTGCATGCACAGGTCGAATGATCTTCTCTAGAGCCTCAATTACTGGCATCGTATACTCACGCGTTGTCTAGAAAGGTAAACATGCTTTTCAGTAAAGTCGATTAGGTTTTTATAAATGAGGTTGATTTTTAAAATGACTCAATGCACACATTTATTGCAACGACTGAAACCCGTACACTAGCTTCAATCAATTTTGATTCTTTTGCAAAAGAGTTGATTAGCCTTCAACAGTTGGTTTCAGGTATTACGAAATGTATCACCTAGATGATTGACTATCAACGAATCAATCTAACCACACAACTATTACAACCTTAGTTACTGTTATTGCTTTATCAAACCCTGGCGGATATGCTGACTCTCGTTGAACCAATGCTGGTTTTTTCATCGCCATTTTCCTTTTTTAGTAAGAACCGTTTTGCCGACAGCAATATTTAAACAATGAACAGATTCGAGGACGACGAGCATTTTGAACGGAGAATTTTGCGTAAATTTGAATCAACTCCTAGATAATATCACTTCAACATTTTAAACAGCACTTGGCTGTGCTAACAATCACAATAGCGTTGCATATGCAAAGAGGGTGGTGTTGATAATAATAAGAGCGCATTGTCAATTTGTTTTGCGAAGCACATAATGAAGTTGTGACCAGACAAGAACAATTCGTTTAATAGTTTATATGAATTTACATAATGATTGCGTGATCACAGTGAAAATGATAAATATAAATGGTTGATTGCACTCAGAAATCATCACCGCTGCTGAAATCCGTCTTATCTTCATTGATATCACCTCCTTCGTCCAGTGAATCATCCTGTTGTTAGCCTCATTTGCTAGCGAAATGAAGTTTTAAATGAGATTATTCGAGAAAATTTATGTGTTTTCATTTCGAGAAACAAAATTTTTAACGGCAAATTGATATCGAGTAGTTGTCAATTTTGCAATTTTCGTGGGATTTTCCCTGCACTTGTATCAAATCGAAGTGTTGTGATAAGTGGAAATAGTGTGAGAATTATTCAGATCAAGTACCTTGGATGTTTTGTTATCATAGATCAACTTCTCCTCCTCCTCATCGTCATCTTCACTGAACTCCTCATGTCCAAGATCATCGTCTGCCTCTTCATCACTCAAACCTGCGCCGGTCATGTTCCCGAATACTTTGATTGCTGAACATTACCAATTCATTTAAACCCTATACGAATAATGCATGGAACAATAAAATTGCAAAGGTCTGCTTAACTCGAATTAAAATCATCACTGATATTACCCTAAGATTCGACTCGGAACATCAGACATCAGTATCAGCTTGAGGAATTTTATGCAATGCTTATTAAGGACAGGCGATTCTAAAAAGTACTATTTTAATTGTTGCAAAGCAAACCTTTCTTGCGTGATTCAGCTTCTTCCTCTGCTTCCAGTTCACCAAGTCTAAATCAGTAATATTCGATAAAATGATTACTCTTAATGAACCTCGATAAAGCTTATCATTCGGAGTACCGCAAACTTGTTCAAAACATCACAAAACATTTACAATCATACGTTCGATTGTTCTCACTCAAAATTTCAATAATTTGCTAAAAACAATCAATAGTTATGACAGAATAAGTAAATCAACATATCCCTAAACAGTCTGCTATAATTCTCAATTGCGGTAGTGGTCGGAAAGTTTAAAAAATGCAGTGCAAGTGCACAAAAGTAAGGCTCAAGATAGAATGATCCAAATGGCTCTCTGAATGCTTCCATATAACACTGATTGCCAGTCATCAAACTACTACCGAGTAAACTTTCATCTCAGTAACTATGAATAAAAAAGCACGAACTGATTATTTGTTAGTGCGATTTGTTCAGCACGCATTCTTTCAACGATATTGCGCATCGCTTGTTCAGCTTGTACGGTACGCTGTCGTTCAACTTTATCAAATTCATTCTGAAAGTTTCACTGATTTCTACTTCATCTCATGATCGGTCTCGTAATAATAATCTCAATGAATGCGGCAACTGCACTGAAGTATGTCTGTTGTCTGAGAATTAGAGGGTTTGTCGACATATGTGAATTATTCAATCGATATTCGTTGCTACAGAAACTTGTCCATATCCTCCTCTATCCGATGAAAATGACAAGATTTAGTCGTATCATATTCGAGAGACATTCAATGCAATCCACCTGTAGCTGCTGCAGATAAGCAACGTTACGAAATTTGAGCACATAGACTGCATACAGTTGTTTCAGTTTCTTTTCGTATTTCTCATATTCATCCATATATTGCGGACGAAATGACTGAAATTTTTGAATTGATCTGCACGTTTCAAGTGTTGATATGTGATGCGATGAAATTTGAGCATTGAAAAAATCATGGCAAGATTTGATCATATTCGCTTCTTATGATACTTCAACTGAGAATCAGTGGAAGACGAAAGAACACGCATTATATTATTTGTACAAAATGCAGTAATTTGCAACGTATATCTTCATTCTTAACCGATTTTCGAGACTTGAACGATGTTGAAAATAAGTTTTTTCGTCAATGTTTCTTTCATCGAATTCGTTAGACTCTAAGAATTAGTGACGTTTGTGTAAAGAAACCTGAAGTTTTGCGAGTCGCTTCTGCTGTTGGTCGTATTCTCTCTTTTTGCGTTCAATCTTTGTGTCAAGTGATGCTTCATCAGAGCTGATATTTTGTATATTGTGATTAATCTGCGTGAGTTCATTCTGAAATTTATTTATATTTATCACAAACAGAACTGAAGTTANAAGAGAAATATGTAATCATAAAGTAATTCAATGACGATATTACGGTGGTTGCAAAAAAATGGACCCCTTCCCTTCAATCAGTTTGGCTTGTTCATTTTAGAAAATGCTGGTTACATGAACGTAAACAGTCACAAATCTGATTTGAAATCTCTAATTTTCAATTGCGAATTCTCATAATCCTCACTGCAAATAACTCTGATGTACATTAGCGATGGGAACAGTGCTCTGTTAATAAGAGTTTAACTTGACTGGTACGCTTCGATTTGGTTCATTGATTCGAAAGGATACCCCCATTGAATTTCTTTGAATCAAATTATCTGCTACACAAAACTTGAAGAAGTAATGAAATGAGGCGATGAATAAAGGAGTTAAAATGAACTAATGATTAAGTAGGTTATCATCTGATAAGATAACCTACTGCTGCAATAACTTCTTTTGCCAAAAGATCGTAAAGGGTTGCACCAGACTGCGGAATCTGTGACGCAAGTTGCCTGCACGCACGCACTTCTTGCATCTGGAAAATTATTCGTGCATTTCATCGCAGTTGATTTCAGATTCATTTATTCATTCGGGAACGAATTTCCTTCGGAATTGAATTATATCTTTCAATAGTGTACAGGAATGAATTCAACACCTAAATTCATTCGATGGTGATAAGTAAACAAGAAATTTAAAAGATATATCAATTTAAAAGAAACGCTGAACCTTGCTGTTAATCTTTGAACGCAGCGCATTCCACGCGATAGCACTACTTTCGGAATCTAACGATTGCTTGGTGGTTTCATGCACTAAGCGAATCGCTACTGCCAGCTCTTGCACTGCGTATCCATCGGCCTGAAAATGAGTCGTTTGTTCGTCAACAAATTCATTTCAACACTGAACTTGATCCATGTTCTATTTGAGGATTTTTGTTGTGTACACACCTGATAAAGTTTCTTCGGATTTAATTTGATGCGTGCTTTTTGCAATAAGATTAATACCGCCGACTTGACGAAGATGACGCGCTCTTGTTCCGTGTCCAACATCGTCGAAATTCGACAGTTTGGATCAAATCTGAAACATGCTCATATTCACAGCACCACAATAAGAAATGTGACTATTTTCGTAGTTGTTTTGAAAAATGTGATCATTTCTATTCACATCACTTTCTAAAATCAATGTTACAGAATTTGTCCAACAAATAATTCACAAAAACCGCAAATAATATTCAATGCAGAATTCCGGTGAGCCTCTTCATAATTTCAGACTGTATAAAAGTAGTATAAATGACAACAAAATCAACAAACCTACGGACAATCCATTCAAGCAATTCAGCAACGAGTTTGAAATTTGGACTTCGAAAATTTTCCATCGATATGAGTCGAGGATATCCGAGTGTTCGCAACATTTCGACAACATCGAAAATTTGTTATTACGTTTAGTATCCCCATCATTGTTTCGTTTTTCATTAAATCATTGTCATTCATACAATGAGTTGCACAAACCTATTACCTGAACTGATCCAATCCACTGCAGAAATTTTCAAATTTTTCCCAAATTCTTCATCAAATAAAAATGAACTCACACGAAAGTGTTCACATTTTTTAGGCAATAAAGTCTCAAATTGTCTTGAAAAAAATAAACTGCTGGAATGACAAAATAAGGTGGGTACAAAAACTCACTTCTCAACTCTCTGTAGGACATTTGTGGGATGGCAACTGATTGCTAGTCGCAGGCTATTGCAAGCAGCGTTCTTCCTGCTATAATGGCGCGCAGTTACCAAGGTAACGACGGGCATGTCAACAATGTCGGATATTAACTATTGGCTTCACGTTCACATTGAGCAGATTTTGGAGGATATTGCCAATTGTAAAATTGCTGTGTCATAATCGAGAGGCGATCACTCACTGAAAAATCATTTGTTGCAAATAAGTGAGTTACTGCCGAATGAGAGGTTCCCACTCAACAACACATGTTGCCTCTCTGCAAGTTCAGAATTTATTTTATCACACACTTACAATACATCAGAACTCTATCGTTCAAATGTATATGATGAATACACCCTTTCCAGTGTTTTGGAGCACATAATGGTTTGCTTAATTTGGCGAAGAATCAATTGAATTTATCGAATTCCAAAAAAAGGAATGTTTCAAAAGACGAGTGGAATTTCTGGAAAATATTTTTCGTTCTTTTTACAGAAAGAATTGATTATACCGGCCGCTCACTAATGTTGCCCCATCACGTTCGAATTCCGTAAATTTCTCATAAGTTAGGAGCTATGAGATTTCCCATCAGACCAGGTATACGACAGGAAGGCTTGCAAAAAATCATTAGAAATATATTGTATTAGGACCTGAGAAAGTTGAACTCATTTTTGCAGTTATGCAAAAAGCAATCACAGTCAGATTCAGATCTGTTTCGAATTACGTATAGTATGAATTTGAAGAGCACGATCATCTGCGAAATCTCTGAAGAAAGTTAAAATTTTAGTTGTAAATCTATCCTCTTTGTGGTGCCGCTGATATGATAAACTGAATACGATGGTCCTTAAAGATTCTCACGTCAGCCGCCAACTTCGAATTGCGAAAAGCCGCAAAAGGACAGGTCTAGTTAGAAAGATTCATTGATGGTGAGAAGCACTTCAGTCATTGTTAACAATATCATGCAATTCAACTGTACCAGTTTCAATCTTTTTGCAATTAACTGAGTTCCGCTTAGAGCAACCATAGATATTGGCGTACTCGGAAATATGGCTGAATGTAAACGAAACATTTTTGTGCTTACGATTAATCGTTTTGTTGCAATCGATAAATTCGTTCGCTGAAGAATGAATGTGCTGAAATTTGTATTGAATTGAAGGAGAAATAGTTTTTACAGTTGAAACGTGCACATTTCACAATACGTTTTTGTTTGTTTGTGAAAATTGTTTTGTATTCGAAATTGTCTCCTACAAGAAAATATCTTTCAGCTAGACCGAATCATATTAAACAATTTCTCATTTCATTTATTCGTTTTTCAGCTTTTTTTTTCACATCGACCAATTTCAATGTTTTGAAGTCGCTTTAATTTTGATTCCATCTGATACACATAATGCAATAACAACTTAAAACGACTCGCTTTTTCAGCCGCTCAACTGCTAACTCTTTTATGTGCACCGCACATCTTCAAGAGTATCGCTACGGATTAATTCAGGACAAATGCAATCCACATATGCTGTCGTCAATGAGATATGTTCACGATAACTTCTGAACTGAAGTTCGCGGGTGATTAGTTCATACTGATCAGTAGTGTCAGATAGATGNGTTCATTTATTTGTTCGGTGGTCGGTGGTATGCGATGGATGGGATTTGTAGAATGAAAATTTGTGAAAGCATAAGTATGCGTGATGTATTCAGTTAATACGTTTATTGTACATTATAAAAATAGTACACAATAACAGACAGCACACAACAACAGCTGAACAGTTATTTTTTAAATGTTATTATCGCTTTTGCTGAATCATTGAATATATATCTCCTTGCAACGATCCATCCATCCATCCATCTATCCATCCATCCATCTATTCATCTGTTTGTAACGCCTCCGTCTTCGAATACCCTCACTTTTCCCTCTGTTCTTAACTAAAATACAATCATTTCTCAGCAGTCATCTTGACTGCTTGGTACCGCATTCCTATGCTCTCGATGTTTGCCATTATCAGTAATCATCAGTCATTCTCAGAATGATGAAACTTATTGCTGCAACAAACATTGTTGTTTCTTGGATATGAACCCTGTTGAAGTGCTTCGTTCAGCTGTTTATTCTCGATTAATTGAACAAATACTTCAAAATTAGAGAATTTTGATTTAACTGAGACACATTCTTGTGACTTTGCTATGTTCGATGAGTGCAGGTAGAACTGCAAAGATTTCCAGATCATTAGACATCGACAGTAATCAAATCATTTTGATGTTCTTATTGACAAATATTCACTTCAGCACAGATTGTGTTTTCATTGCAAGCAAAAAACGAAATGACTCAGGCGATGAATAAGACGTTCTGTTCGTATAGACTCTGAATGCATAAATTCATTTTGATGTTGTCGTTGATGAATATGTAACAAGTGAATGAATAAAAGCGTATTGCGCAATTAATAAATAAAGCAGTTCGAATTCAATTCATCGGCATTATGTTTCAAACTATCTGATGGTCTTAACGCGAAAGCATTTGTAGCGATCCGCTGTGGTGTTGATGATGTACTTGCAAAACTCTCATTAATATCTTTGTTCAGCATCACTTCTTTTTGTGTTTTTTGTAATCAAATTATATGGATGGTCGCTTTTTATAAATTGCTTTCTCAAGCGTTACGGTAAATAATGTTAGCAGTTTGTTATTTTCGGAAGAGAATTAATGTTCCGAGTGTAAACAAATATTTTTTAGGAAGAATTCCACCGTGAATAACACATCAAATATATCGATATCTGAAAGTTCAAAAAAAATAAGCGAAATCAAACGTTATACCGCTAAACGAGTAAATGAAAAACCAGACTTTAAGTTGCTTTTTCTAGTGAAGCTTCAAAAATGCGCTTCTGAAATACTTGAAGTGAGATCAAAAGAACTGTTTTACCTTACCGAATTGGTGAAGAGTCCCTAAGAAGTTCAAGCTAACAACTTTATTCATTTAGTGCTATGAAAAGTTGACTCATAATCAGTTAAAGGCAATACGATTCACTGTCTCTTTGCGTTGAGAATAATGAGCTTTCAGTGAACATGTTGTTTTGCGTGGCATTCTTTAAACGACAAATTCTGTGTATTTCAGATGCCGCCATACTTATGTTGGAATTTTTCACATTTACTGGTAGGCAAATGGGATTTTTGAACGCTGTATATAAAGATTTAAAGATAATGCTTGACGCTTGAACGAGTGTTTCTGTTCGATTCTGCAGTTAATTCAACTCGGAAGAGAATAAAATACTTTCAGCATGTTGAATCGTCGGTAGATGAGTTTTGGCGCATTGAGTTTTCATTTTCGTTTGATAGATGAAAATTGAATGATTTCATGATTTTATTAGTGTCTTTGCTGAATGTTCTTCACAAAATATAGCGGCAGATGTTCAGCGAAAATTGAAATGAACTTTTTCTTATGGTTCTCAGCTAATTTGGATTGAGCGTGTAAGAGTTTAATTGCATTAACGCTTATATATATCCATGTCAGTTGATTGTGCATTCATAAGTGATAATCTTATGAACATTAATAAGCGAAATTCAACGATTTTCCTTAGATGACTGGAGGTTATTTGCACAAATATAAATACACTGACATATGCATTCATCCAGCACTTTCGTACTAATAACAATAAGCGCATCATCAGTAACAACAACAAAGTTTTGCTGTTGATCATCTATCGATTTACAACACTCCCTGAACGCATAGCTGTAAAAAATTTTTGTTGCCCACTTCTTTGAGCATTGCTAGGTTTATTTTTAGTGCTAAACGCTGATTGATTACTCTCGTAATATCGTTCGTTCAACCTGAATCTAACTGTTGCCACTGTCTTTATCTTCATTCTCTGAGAGATTTCAGTTCAGACATAACGATTCGATTCCATTCATTTTCTTTTGACAATCGCAGACCGGATACATTCAGTGAATTAATCTTCGTCCATTTCCATACGAAATTTTTGAAATTCACGATCGCAATGATTCGGATAAAACAACTCCATTAGTGTCACGAATTCTACCAGCACAAAACGTTTGCTTTGAATGAACAATGGCGCTTCTGAATTGCGTTATTTGAAACCGTTAAGTTTCGTGCGAACAAATATCTTTAACGAATTTTGATTTTGGTTTTTACATTTCCCGAAGTGAGCATTGCCTTTTTTGTATCGAATGAACTATTTTGAATGGGTGAAAACATCGAATATCAGCGATAAGCGCATAATTTTGTAGTACGTGAAGTTTGCATATACTTGCTAGAAAGCATAAGATTATTCATTAATCATAGATTTAGCACATCCTTTGATGTTACTGAAACTGGTCTGCACTTATCTCGTTTGAGAAGCTGCACTCTCAAGATTCTTTGTTGTTTGGCCACTGTGATTGCTATTAATATGACGTATGATATCATTCCTTCCTTTCCCATCACCTTGGCAATGAAGAGGCGTAAAGCCAACGTGATCATCAAACGTTCCTTATAGTATAAACACCAGTTGCCGCCCAAAATATTAAAAATACGGTGGCAGTGAGGGGTACATCTGTTGAACCATTATGAAGCCTGTGGTACTAAGAGCAAAAAATAACAAAATTATATTTGAATAGATGATGAGCTATAAGCCAAATTACTGGCCGACTCAAGCTTGGGAACATCAATGGCACTGATACACTATTCGCTTTCGAGTGAAACTTTCCCCGAATGAGAAACTCATATTT